CTCATTCGAACAGACACACTGACTCATTCAAACCGACACATCAACTTACTCTGACAGACACACCGACTCATTCAAACAGACACACCGACTCACTCAGACAGCCACACCAACTCACTCGGACAGACACACCGACTCATTAAAACAGACACATCCACTTCGTCTTACAGACACACAGACTCACTCGAACAAACACACCGACTCATTCAGACAGACACACTGACTCACTGGGACAAACACACCGACTCATTCGGACAGACACACCGACACACTCGGACAGACACACCGACTCATTTGAACAGACTCCGACACATCAACTTACACTGACAAATACACCGACTCATTCGAACAACCACACCGACTCAGTCAAACAGGCACACCGACTCACTTGGACAGACACACCAACTCACTTGGACAAACACACCCACTCAGTCAAACTGACACATCAACTTACTTTGACAGACCCAACGAATCACTCGAACAAGGACACCGACTCACTTGGACAGATACACCAACTCACTTGGATAAAAACACATCGACTCAGTCAAACTGAAACATCAACTTAATCTGACAGACACACTCTGACTCATTCAAACAGGCACACCGACTCACTCGGACAGACACACCAACTCACTCGGACAAACACACTGACTCATTAAAACAGACACATCGACTTACTCTTACAGACACAAAGACTCATTCGAACAAACACACCGACTCACTAAGACAGACACACCAATTAACCCTGACAGACACACCAACTCACTGGCACTGACATACCAACTCACTCGAACAAACACACCGACTCATTCGGACAGACACACTGATTAACTCCGACAGACACAAGGACTAACTCGAACAGACACATTCAAACAGACACACACCGACTCACTCGAACAGACACACACCAACTCACTCGGACAAACACACCGACTCATTCAAACAGACACACCGACTCACTCAGACAGCCACACAGACACATCGGACAGACACACCGACTCATTAAAACAGACACACACTTAGACACACAGACTCACTCGAACAAACACACCGACTCATTCAGACAGACACACTGACTCACTGGGACAAACACACCGACTCATTCGGACAGACACACTGATTAACTCCGACAGACACAAGGACTAACTCGAACAGACACTGACTCACTGGGACACACACCGACTCACTCGAACAAACACACCAACTCACTCGGACAGACACACCGACTCATTCAAACAGACACACCGACTCACTCAGACAGCCACACCAACTCACTCGGACAGACACACCGACTCATTAAAACAGACACATCCACTTCGTCTTACAGACACACAGACTCACTCGAACAAACACACCGACTCATTCAGACAGACACACTGACTCACTGGGACAAACACACCGACTCATTCGGACAGACACACCGACACACTCGGACAGACACACCGACTCATTTGAACCGACACATCAACTTACACTGACAAATACACCGACTCATTCGAACAACCACACCGACTCAGTCAAACAGGCACACCGACTCACTTGGACAGACACACCAACTCACTTGGACAAACACACCCACTCAGTCAAACTGACACATCAACTTACTTTGACAGACCCAACGAATCACTCGAACAAGGACACCGACTCACTTGGACAGATACACCAACTCACTTGGATAAAAACACATCGACTCAGTCAAACTGAAACATCAACTTAATCTGACAGACACACTCTGACTCATTCAAACAGGCACACCGACTCACTCGGACAGACACACCGACACACTCGGACAGACACACCGACACACTCGGACAGACACACCGACTAATTCGAACAGACACACTAACTCACTCGGACAGACACACCAACTCACTCGGACAGACACACCGACTCACTGGGACAGACACACCGACTCACTCAAACAGACTGACTCACTCGGACAGACACGTCCACTCGTTAGAACAACACACTGATTCATTCAAACAGACACACCAACTACCTCGGACAGACACCCCAACTTACTCGGACAGGCACACCAACTTACTTGGAGAGACACACCAACTCACTCGGACAAAGACACTAACTCATTGAAACTGGCACACCAACTCACTCGGACAAACACACTAAATCATTGATACTGACACATCAACTCAATCGGACAGACACACTTACTCATTCGAACAGACACACCGACTCACTCGGACAGACACACCGACTCACTCAAACAGACACTGGTTCACTCGGACAGACACGTCGACTCGCTAGAACAGACACCCCACCTTACTTGGAGAGACACACCGACTCATTCGAACAGACACACTGACTCATTCAAACCGACACATCAACTTACACTGACAGACACACCGACTCACTCAAACAGACACAGCGACTTACTCAAACACACCGACACATCCCAATGTACATAATACTTTACACACTTTTACAATCACATCTGTTGTACGCTCAGTGCCAGCCCATATTGTATTTCTTCTGTGCTCATAAGCCAAATTAATTTCCCCAGATTGTACAGCTTTGTAAAAGAGTCTGTAATTTTGTTGCATGAAGTAAGAAGTATGTTTCTCTAATTTAAGAGCTTTAATAGGCTTGGTGTATCTACCTCTTTCAATGTTGAGAGGCAGGTTTAACCGCACCTCAGTGATGCTTCTAATGTTCTTTGTTGTCTTGAAATTGGCATTTTCACATATGCTGAAGTAGATATTTCCTTTTTAAACAGTCTGTAGGTTCTTACTTTATTACCATTTAACTTATTATTGTTGTCATTAAATAAATCTGAGTTCCAATCAGTGTGCGAAATAGCGGCTGGCCTGCTAGCCCGAGGCTAGTAAAAATCCAGTTGGGCCAGAAAATCTCCACAGTCACTGGCCCGACTGGCTATTGAAGTTTCATGGGGTCATTTTTTATCACTATATATCACTCTCTCCGACTTTGTTAACTTATAATACACTTTTAAATCATGCAAGATCATGGCCTGATGAATGATGGTATTTTACCTTTGTCTAATATTTTGCTTAGTTTCTACATTTGAATTTCGGGTTAGTGAAATATTTTGTGGGCTAGAAACTTTCAGGCATAGCTAGCCTGACTGGCTAGTAAAATTTGGAAACTACTTCGCACACTGGTCCCAGTTCTCTCTATCTCATATATCTAACACATCTAGACTGCAGCATATTATGCAAACGATAGGCATGCAGCATCATCAAACCCATATGATATTACACATCTTTTAAACATATTTTAAACGTTTAGATGAGGTCTACCTTTAGACCATAAACAACGTTTATGCTTCAACGTCTTCTAGACTTCCACTTTAAACTACAATAAGATGTCATTTCAATGTTGAATGTAGACATCATTTAAACGTCTATTAAACGTTCATGTGCCTGCTGGGGAACCTTCAGGAATTGGCTGAAAGCAGCAGGATACAGGACCAGCAGACCCACAAAACTGTAGCCAGCTCACAATGCAGCATGACTTGCCTAGTGTAAATCAAATGTGTTCGCTGGAACAGTCAGAGGGTTCGCTTTTCTGATGAGTCATTTCTTATTGCATATGGTGGATAGTCGTACACGTGTTTGGAGTCAAAGGAACACAGCTATGGTTCTCCACAATATCCAGGAGACGATTGTTTTGAGTGATGATCAATCATGGTATGCGGATGCATTTCATTGGGTTGAATGATGGACCCTATTTGTGGTAACCCGTATGGGCCTTGGTATCAACAGGAGATCCTTGAGAAGGACGTTGTCCCACATTTTGATAACTATCCTCAAGCCACAACACCCATATTTGTGGATGACAATGCCAGGCCTCAGACAGCAGGTGCTGTTACCCAGTTCTTACAACAGAATGCTCTTGAGAGCATCTCATGGCAGAGATAAGTCCAAATCTCAATCTCATTGAGCATCTGTGGGACATTTTAGGCCATCGTGTTTGACAGATAGAACCATCTGTCCATATTTTTAATGAATTGACTGCTGCTTAGCATGAGGAATGGAACAGGATTCCTCAGAATAAAATCCAAGGAATAAGGAGGCTTCTTGAATCAGTTGTTCGTGTGCAGTGAGCTTACACAAGATACTGATGGCAAGTCAGTATTTGGACTTGTGAGACACTATTCCGTGAATAAGTTGTGCACAGTACTGACAGTTGAGTCAAATTTGTAATGTTTTTGCATGAAATGACATCATTTTCCAAATCTGTACAGTCTTCAATTAAACCAGATTGTGTCATGGTAAACTTGGCTATGTTTCTCCTCCACCCTTTCTTTTCGCTACAAAATTCATATGGTATGGAAATCACTGACACATTTTATGCAGAAGTTCATTAAAGTAGCTCAGTCAGAGAAAATAGGGGTTTTGCTTATCTAATGTCCTTATGTACATATTATGTTGATGAAGGACAAACCTGTACAAAATGACATAAGCTGTTTCAACAAGAGTTGATTCTGTAATGACCCTGTGACTTTGCCTGTTATCATCAGGCAGAATATCGCATAATAAGGCCAGACCAATTATGTTTCTTGTTTTATGGATTGTTGTCCTCAGAAAACCTAAAGGCAGGAGGGGAAGAAAAAAATATAAAAAAAAAAACACCAGTCAAAGTAATATTCCTTCTAAATACTCAAAGTATTTTACTTTTGGCAATTTATGAAGTGTATATGGATAAAAAAAAAAATCTAAAATGTTTTTTTCTTGTAAGTTTACATTTTTGGAGAAATAAAAACATTAGGATCACAGGATTGTCTGGTCCAGATACGTTTATTTATAGACTGCTACTGGAATATTGCTAACTGCTGCTAATTAAACAAAAAAACAAATCATAATGTTAATTTAGGGGAATTTGGAAAAAAATAATCACATTTCAGGCTAACTTCCATATTATGAACCATTGTGATTATCTTCCTTGTTTCGTTGGCTCTGTTAGGGATGCCATTATTATGTGGTGTCATGATGTCACACAAAGAAATGCTGAAAGCACCAGTCTATAAAATGATTGATGTTTTTATTTTTCATCTGTGTATTGCCTGAGAAATGGTATAGAAAATACTAATATCATCTCTTCATTTTCTCATTGATGTCAACAACCCAATCAATGGTCTACTCATATTAAGAATGTGGTACACATATCCACGGAAACATTTTGAAAAAGGATTTTCTACTTCGCTATATGTATAAAAGTATTCCCTCTCAGTTCTAATGATTAGGTAATTAATTTGCTTGAATTCACTTAGTCATAAAACATGCGATAATTCACAAAATACTATCTCCTGAATCAGTCAGTATGTTCAACAGGCAGTTTGTAATTCTGCCAATAGATTTCAGCATATGAAAGTCCAGATGCCTGACACATCTTTCTTGTAACATCGTGGTTTTCCATTTTTGAACATAGTCAAGAGTGGATGAGGATGGTCTCGTATCTGTTGTAGACACTCTCTCACATGAATTGCAAAGTTCTTTGGCTCCTGATCAGGAGATGTTGATAGATTCTGAAAAGACAACATTTATTTTCATGCTTATTTCTTCATACAAAAATCAAAAATAATCAAATAGATTCTTCAGCAACAACTGTTATGTAGCAGTAAATTTTTTACCAATAATGAGTCAAACTTGTTGAATACAATCAACTTCATGCATGATAAATATGTGAAATATTTGCAAAATGTGAATCATGACTGCAATCAAAACTTATCACACCCAACCAGTTTGTGATGAGGCATCAGCAATAAAGTTGTTTTTCACTTTTAATGTGCTTAATGTCTAAATCAAATTCCTGCAAAAGGAAGCTCCTAAGCATTAGGCACTTTTTTATCCCCCGCAACGCGTTTTGCGGGGGGTATTAAAACGAACTCCGCCCGTGCGTGCACATTTGTCTTTTCCGGAGCAGAACTCTAAAACCGTTCAATTTTTCTTCACCAAACCGGGCACATAGATATATCTGGTGGTGTACTGGTGCCTTTTTGGTAGTTTTGGAATTCTGACTAAAACATTTTTGGCGTTTCCATGGCAACAAGTTTGACTAAAACAGAAATTAGTGGTAGTGCTCTTTTCCGGAGCAGAACTCTAAAACCGTTCAATATTTCTTCACCAAACTTGGCACATACATAGATCTGGTGGTGTACTGGTGCCTTTTGGTAGTTTTGGAATTCTGAATAAAATATTTTTGGCATTTCCATGGCAACAAGTTTGACTTAGACTGAAATTGGTGATGGTGCTCCTTTCTGGAGCAGAACTTTAAAAACCTTTCGATACTCTCCTTCCACTTTTCTATATACACACACTAAAAATTTGACATAATCATAACTCGAAGACATAATCATGAAGAGTATTTTGCCATTGCAGGGGATATTGATGACTTTAACTTCTTGTTGTTCTTTATTTGATAAGTCAGTGGATTGGATCAGTGTACAATTCAACAGGATCCGAAGTAGAAGCCAAATACACTTCAAATTGCAAGAGTTTCTTTATCTCTGGTGGAATAACCAGCCTCTGTCTTCTGCTCAAAACACCCTGGGAATGGCTGTCCAAAACAAATTTCTCCCTTTGCCAAGAGGTTACATGTGAGAAACTATGACAAAAAGTAATGTAGTAACAAGCCATACCAAGAAATAGTTCTGTTTTGATTTTTGGAACATGAAATTTTGAAATATCTTCCAACTTTGCTTGAACCTTTACAATATAACATGACCTGTAAATATTGTAGCTTGTGATTGAGCTTCAAGATTTCAGTCAATCTGCCTTTAGTAGGTATCTCGAAGAAGGCACTGACCTTCAGGTATTCCTCCCACTCCAAGGAATGAGTCATGATATCATTTATGTAGGTTTTGACAAAAATCAAGATTGGCTGTAAGCTCATTGATGAGATGCTGGAAGGTACCTTGAGCATTCTTGAGCCAAAATGGCATAACTTTGCTTTGCTAAAATCCATCTGGTGTAACAAAAGCAAAGGCCGACTTGGCAAGCTCAGTCAGTGGAATCTGCGAATACCCACTAAATAGGTCAAACTTACTGATGTACTTATTTATTATTATTATAATCTATTTATACAGCACCAAGTTCCAGCTAGGCTACCCACAGGCGCTTTGTTTTTTCCCTTGATCACTGGATATCAATCTCAACGGCACTTTGTATTATCAATCTCAACTCCCTGGGGAGTATACAAGTCTTGCAGCCACTCGGTGCACCTAGTTAATGTGGCTTTCCCATCCTTACAGGTACCCATTCACTAGGCGTGGGTATTGCAGAGAATTTTCATATTGCAATATATTGCAAGAAGTTTTATATAAAAAAAAACTACTTATAGTCGAGTCAATGCTTGATTTTTTAAGCAAAAACACAACAAAATCACTATGCTTGAATAAACTTTAATAAAAATATTAATCATCCCGCCTGAGAATTTCACTTTACCATTGCATATTTTACATACCACGTTCCTCTTATCAATAGTTCCATTTACCGTGAACTTTTTCAACCCCAAATGCTGTCATACTGAAGCCTTTGCCCTAGTATTTGGCACCACAATAAATTGCTCGCTGTTGGGGATAGCCATTTTACAACAAACGCATGACTTCCGGTGTGAAAAATGGAAATATCTGAAGATTTCAGAGTGTTACAAAGTTTTGTCATGTCAAAATACCGGTTTTCGATCAGCATATCGCAATACGTATCGTTTTCATGTCTGAACCGGTAAATTTCGGTAAATCAGTTATACTGCACAGCCCTACCATTCACAGCTGGGTGGACAGGGACACATAGTCACAGTACTTTGTCCAAGTTTACTGCACGTAGCCGTGACCGCAACCAGGTGTTTGAACATATTCATGTGGCGATCATCTGGTCATATACTAATGGATTCGTGGGCTCTTTTAAGTGTATAGGGTTGTGTACTGTACACTATAGGTTGTGGCAACACTGAAAGAGTCTGCACACAAAGTTGACTCCAAGGTTTTTACACCCAGTCACAGATGGGCTCGATTCCAGCACCTCAAGCTCGCTGGATCCCAAGCCTGACACCTTCGACAGCTCGCCCACCACGCCACCTACTTTGCTAGATGCTATGATTGATTCTTGAATAAGAGTCAGTTTCACAAAGAGTGTTCATCCATTTAATGTTATGACAGCATCTGTAACTAAAACATCAGGCTTTGGCATAAGAATGCAAGGTGAATTACTGTCACTATTACTGTGTATTACCACATATAAGCCGATCCCCAAACTAGACCCTTAAAATCAGTATCAAAATGGTGTGTTCCATAAATAAGCTGACCCCGAAACTTTCGCTCTTCTTTTCTGCATGATCAGTCATCGGGAATAGAGTGTCATCAAATCCATATTGAATTACGCAAGTTAATCCTGTAATTACACTATCTCATAATAAAACATGTTCGTTGCATGCAATCTATTCTGGACTGCAATATAGTTTATTAATTTTACTCAAAATGTCAAAAATGCATGCATATATTACTGCAGTGAAATCACAATCATATTGCGTCTACTCACGCCTCGAAATGAAGTTCAGTTGACAGAAAATGTATACGTATACATATTTGGTTTCGCTAAAATTCATATTTGTTGAAGTTGGATGATCACATGTCAACAAACTTTTTGCGTGGTGGAAATAGCGGGATCACGCAAAACCTCATCGTGACAGGTCAAATTGAAAATTTAACTCTATAAACTGTAGATTTATAATACTTATCCTATCTTTGTACTCTTTCTCTTAGGTTCGACACAGTGGCAACGAACTAGGGCTGGGACGGGTACTCGGGTACTCGAATTCAGGTCGGGTACAGCTTGAATCGAGTCCTATTTCTCGGAATCGAGTACCCGGAAAGGAAGAGAACTCTTTAATGACAAGGGCAGATAATAACTTGTCTTTTTCATTATAACGTAACACATTTACATCAATGGTATTGTCGGATTAATGGAGGTTATTATTAACGACTGTAATTTATCTTTTGGTTTAAACTACAAGCTATGCCCAGTAATAGATATTCAAAAGCATGTTATTCATGTTATTATTTGTGGTCTGGACAGTGCAGGGAGAAGATCATGGGCCCCTTCTATTAGATGTTTGCTCTTTTCTTATGGTTTTGGTATGGTGTGGGAAAACCAAGGAGTAGGAGGCAAGTCACTTTTTTTTTAACCATTTTCAAGCAGAGAGTTATTGACTGTTGGAGACAAAATTGGTCAGTAAACATTAAGGAAAGTAACAAGTTGTCTCTTTATTGCCAGTATAAATCTCCACTTGAAATGGAGTCATATTTTAATGTGGTGCAAATAGACAGATATAGAATGGCTCTAACCAGATTTAGATGTACAAATCATGATATTGCTATTGAAACAGGGAGATGGTTAGGAATTATTAGAGATGAGAGAGTGTGTAAATACTGTTTGTCTATGTCCAAAAGTTGTGTACTTGAGGACGAAATTCATTTTCTCATTACTTGCTCTCAATATCATGATCTTCGATCCCAACTGTTGAATATTCTCCATTATCTCTCCAACGAAAAGAAATTTATCCACATCATGAAGTGCGAGAATCAGTCACTATTAGCAGAATACATATTCAAGGTCTCAGCTGTGAGACAGAAGTTCCTCAATACCTGATGCAAGCGAGACAACTCAATCATATTCCGCGTAACATCTTGTCTACCTACAACTATGGTTTAATTGTTTGACTTATAACCATTACAAATTATTGTGCTCATTCATCACTATATACATATACAATTTGCTATGACTTGATATGCTCTTTTACAGAAATTGTACCAAACTGCAAGGGAGTTAAACCCTATCAACTTTTGCATTATTATATTGTCAACCTATAATTATTATTGTTCAATTGTACAATGTATCTGCTTGGATAATTATGCCATTCACGCTCTTATGTAAGAGCCACCAAAACAAAAAGCTATATATTGTTTGTACTCTGGGCCAATGGGCCCCTATTACCGAAATAAATTGAACTTGAACTTGTAATTTATCTGCGCATGTGCAGTGAGTAGTCAAGTTACAGTAACAGTAGGAACGAAAAGTTTATTTTAACGAGCAATGTAAGTAATGAGATGACACGTTTTAATCCCTCTATTAACAGAGATCAAGGCTATTATATCCCCTCAGCTTACAACCACCTAATCCACAAATAATTAACCACTCAACCCACTCTGGCTTCTCATCAACCTTCATACTCACATTCCTCACCACCGGCTTCTCAATAATAAATACCCCCACCACCACCTTGGCTTCTGCCTAATTAACTTACATTCGCTAATTCTCATGGTAATCCCACTCATCTCATTTTGTTATCTTCAGCTCATCATCATGTCATTGTAGCTCATCATGTAACTTTCTTTGATGCTTTGTTTCCCAACCCTTGTTATTGTTATCTCATTATCTTATCTTGTATATAAACTGGTGTACCCCATCATTCCCCCATATGCTTGAAAACGGTATATGAACTTATACCGATACGTCGCTATTGTTAAAA